TTAATCATTAATTCAAACAAACTGTACAAAAGATGCAATGATAAAATTGATGACAAGAAAGACAAAATGTGAAAGATTAATAACCACTAAGTACTGATAGACAAGTCTGACTATGTCTCCAAGCTACAGACGATTCTGAGTGACAACAGTAAGTTTCGAGGCAACGCAATGCAGAAAGAGACGACTGCGCAGAAGGAAACAATTATCACTAAGATTATGTAAGAGGCGAAGCGGATAGACAATTCACTTTTACAGGGATGGTTCCATATGGATCACATGCTCCGCGGCTATACGGAATACTAAGGTGCATGAACCCAAAGTTCCCATGCGACCATTAATAGTCATGTCCTCTTCTGTCATTCAATCAGTCACCAATTGGATTACAGTTATCTGAACCGGAACGTAACAAAGTATCGATTCATCATGTGACAGACCCTCGATTGAATCAAGTGAAGATGTAAACTCGGGTGATAAAGTGATGTTTTCCTTTGATGTAGATTCACTCTTCCCTAACGTGCCACTGTTAGAAACAGAGAAATTGTGATTATCTCACATAAAGGAACTTAGACGTTGGTAACTGATGTGGGAACGTCATGTAGCCCCGCAAAAATGCGCCACAAAATCCAGTGCGTGGGCCGCGCCACGCTGAGTTCAATTCCTACCCACAACGTAGCAGAACCTAGCCAATCCGGGGCGCAACTGCGCTAAAGTGAATAAGTCCTTTTGTAAACCACGCGCCCTACGTGGTGATTTATTGCACTCACAAAATGAACGATTGTGCCAACTGTGATTCGGCTTTTGTGGGTCGTAAAAGAACTCCCAGAGGTCCGCTTCGTCTTGTCTCCTCTTGTGGGCTGGTTGGGACTCGCGTTGTTACGTGATCGTATGTCGTACCGGCCGTGTGTTGCGTGTGCGTCTATTGGCTCTCGCATCTAGTCTCCCGGCCGTGTGCACATCGTTTTCTGATTTCGAGGACTCAGTGCGTTACCCGAATACGTGCGTTAATAAATGAATAAATAAATAAATGTTTATTCCCAACAGTGCGGGGCACACCTAAGAAGGTATGATCATAGTAACACAGGGCGTATAATTAGTACTTTTCACAAGTGTTCCTACTGGAGTTGTTTTACGTATATATGTAAGTGCACGGGTTAATAATCAGGTTGAGTGAATTTGTTCCTGCTGTGCTGTATTTGTGGTTGTGTTCGGTGAATTCGCCAACATAGGAAGGGATCAAATAATCTCTTCGGATTGGCTGACGTCCGTGAGTGGGGTAAGATCCTACGGAAAGACAGGAAGCAGTGAGTTTATTTAGTGGCGAGGCATATCCGCCACGTCACAATGTTGTCAAACAGATATTTGTGGCTTCTTATAGGGAGAACGCTTGCCAGACAAAAATCCACCACGTCCTGGAACACTGCCGTTGAACCATTCGCTGGAACAAGATTAACTAGGACCACGCAGTTGGCACCACGTGGAGGTTCTTCGGCTAGTCAGCAAGTGCTCAGGTCACGTGTAAGTTTCGGCTAAGCTAACGCGACCAGGTTCGTGCAAATCTACTAGTATTCCTTTGCAGAAGCCGGAAGAACTGACCTTCAACTTACCGCTTTTATTTGATGGAACTTACTACCGACAGGTTGATGGGACTGCAATGGGCTCTTCTCTTGGCAGCTATATTCATCGCGAAACTTGAGCGTGGACCAATTAGCAACCTGCTTGCGTCACTCGATTCATATTACCGATACGTGGACGACATATTCCTCGTCTGTGACGCTTCCACTGATGACAACTAGTTACTGGCTAAATTCATCAGTGCGCACCCGTCATTAAAATGTTCCATTGAAACTGAAAAAGACGGTAAGCTGGCCTTCTAGACGTACTATTTCCATGTCGATAGAATGGGTCAATTGATAAAAGTGTATTCCGAAATGCGACGTGCGTAGGTCAGTACACACACTTTCTCAGCTTTGTGAACCTGAGACACAAGCAAAATTTAGTCCGTTGCCCCTTTTATCGCGCCAGGGCCATCTGCAGCCATGAGACGATGGACAGTGAGACTCAGCTTATTCTTAGCACATTGCAGGAGGATGGATATCCTCCCCAGTTTATTAAAAAGCATTCCATACTGCCCTATTTCACCAATGCTGTCACTACAGTACCAAAAAAAGGACGTCTTCCTTACAGTTCCTTTTAAGAAGATATTGCTTTTGAGCCGTTGAGGAGAAAACTATCGACCACAATGGCTCAGACATTCCAAGCAGCCAACCCTAAATTACTTGCCGAAACTAGATGGCTGATTTCTCAGCGCCTGAAGCATAGACTCCCGGTCCGGTCCGAATCTTGCATCCTATAGCAATTCACTTGCACCTGCGGAGCAAGGTACCTCGGACATACGACAAGGCGTCTGTCCAAAAGGATCGTTGAACACTGCCCGGCTTCGCTACGAAAAGGCACCGTAAGGAACATCAATAGTTCGATACTTGAGCATTTGGTTGAAACGAGACTCCAGACTTAAGCGAAGGACTCATTCAAAGTGAGATATAACACCCCGAAACGATACTCCAAATGACTCAAGAATCACTCTGTTAACCACAACTGAGGCCATAGCCATCAGAGTTTTGAAACCGGAACTGTGAAAACAACGGACGCTGATGCAAAACTTGATCGTGCCTTGGCCATGAACGCGCTCCGGCGAGAATTCTTCACCTTAAACATGAAAGGCTATCGGCATTTGTCACCGCTGATCTGTTTATCCTCACTCATTATGTGTGAGTTTTGTCCGAGTGGCGTACTTCGAATGACTAAGACCTTGATCGATGACCGGTCATGCCAAGCCAGTAGACTGTATAGATATCGTGCTTTTTCTAGTTTTTTCTCTAATTTTTCCTAATTGATACTTAGCTTTCATTAGCTAATCGATTTGGTAATTCTGCTCTTTTAAGTATAAATGTCGTGAGATTTATGGAAAAGGATTTTCTCCGCGCAGTTGTGAACTAGTCAAACCACAAACTATTTGTGGGTACAGTGTGCTGCGCGTTGCTCTGTGAATTCTCGTCTATTTCATCAAAACACTTGGCAGAGAGCGAATATGTGATTCCTGCAACGACCATCGTTGCCTGTTTGTCTGAGCTACAACTAACATTGGGGTTGTACGTCCGAGGTCCTATCGACAAGCTGCATTGTCCCATGGCGCGATGGTTCATACGTACTTTGACGTTCATGTTTACGCTTGTTATGTTTGTTGTGAGGTCCACGCCACTAAGCCGACGGTTGTTTGTTGAGCAGGCCACGGTTAAGCGCTACTTGACTGCAGTGTACACGTGCGTCTCTGGGTCACTGTCGTCTGGGTGAGGGTTGCAAGGTCACTCGTCCGGTAAGTTCACGCGGTTGACACTGCGTAAGCCTCAACCCGTTCCACTGGTCTACATTCACGTCAATCGATTCGGATTTGTGGCCAAAATTCAGTGGAACGTAATTCCACCGGTGAAAAGTAACTAAATAAAATGGTTTATTCTCAATCGAACGGGGCACACCAGTGAAACGACTATAGATGGAGGGGCTGATGACTGAAATATCTCTGTAGTTTCCGGCAGAATCTAGAATGTTCAAATCTGGTGCGGGTTGAAAGTGTTAGGAGCGCTCACTGGAATTAAGTCTGACGTTATTGTATGCACACGAAGAATGCGGTAATTGCACGCTTGTGTTTCCGCAGAATTTCTACGAGAATAGTGATTGCCTGTGGATCTGAGATCTAGGGTGGACAAACACGCAGCATTCGAATCGCTAAATGCAGCAGGTTACTCCACGTCAGTTAACTGCAAATGCGTCGGTGTGCGCCGAGTTGGTTAGGAGAAAAGTAAACGAGCCAAAATAGTGCGACTGCTCGCAAAGTGCCGCGCTGTAGAAAACCATCGGGACCCACGTAGATTCTTACTATAAGTTGTGTGCAAATAAGTACGATACAGATCCTGAAGTTCAGTGCTGCAGCCGGTGGTAGATAAACTGCACTGTGGATGAACTGCAAAACAAAAGACAGTCTTTAGAAATTCGTTTTTGACTGCCAGAGCAACTGCTAGTATGTTGTGTATCCGAAAAGACGTGTGGGAAAACATCTGCTTGTTGTCTCGTACACATGAGCACATGTGATGTTAACTGATCATTTGAGTGAACGTGACTGACGCTGTGCATGCAAACAGGAGGTCAAGCAATTGTCCTCAACTTTAGTTGGCACGGTCACACGAGCCAGAGATACAAGACCACATTGGCTACTCGATTCCACAGGCCTAACAATAAACCACAATTAAGCTACCATAGGTGTAGAACATATCGAGTCAATTCGAAATTCTTCGGGGAGCTTTATATGCACCGGACAAGCTGGGATCCCTAATACTAGTGGCTGCCGCAGTATTGCGTCGCAGTCCATCGGGATGGTTTGACTGCGAAGTGAGTTCCGACTCTAAAGTGGCACTAACTGCGTAGCGTGAAGTGCACTTGATTCGACCGTGGCAGATACTTCATAACTTGTGATCAGCAACCTGAAACAGCGAAATGCGATAAATGGAATGTGAAATCTCACTGTTCTGATAGGTAACCGGCCTCCAATATTGTTCCCGGAAATCCAGCTTCGTAGGGACACGGTCAAAACGGTTTAGCGTCTTAACCGAGGGTCACTGGCTACTTTTCACGCAAAAATATCAGGGCAGTACTCCGTAAACCCATTCTAGGACTTTTGGGCGATTTAAAAATACTGAATAACTGGTGCACAGCTGTGCGCATCGGCGTTTTAACCATTGGGTAATCCGCGGGTCTTGGGTAATCACTGCGGGAAAGCAGTATAACCCATGGGGAAGCAATGAATCGTGGGGTTATTCGACGCAACTATTGTGCCGGTGCGATTTTTAATAACTATTTACTATCTTCCATGGAATTCCATCTTCACCTGCAGTCCATCAAACGGTGCACGCTCTAAGTAGCAATAAAACCACTTTTTTAGCACAACTATGAACCCGAACGTAATTGCGTTCTACCAGCGTCTGATTAGATACAGACAGTCTGGAAGCCAAATCAGAATACCCTTGTGGTTAGTCAGATTGTGTTCAATTGTCATCAGAGTATCATATCTACCTAGGATTCCCCATAAAAATGAGGAACGATCAGCACCCCATGCGCGGGTCGGCCTTTTACCATGTACCAAATATGGTGTTCTACTTTGTCTAACTTTGCTTCGTGAAACTAAACCATCTATTGCATCTCATTTCTTGTCTTTCAGCTGCAGCCATGCTCCGCGCATTGACCAGATTCCAACCTACAGGTTTGTGCAAAAGTGACGAGGTGAACTATATTGACATTGGTGGCGAAGTATCGTGGTGATATATGACTGTCACAATCATCAACTCAAGTTTAAGGATTAGCACGCAGAGAACACTGGTCCTCATTTTCGATTGGCCTGAAGGAGGTCCTGTCCGTAACATTAGTGGTCGTCTCGTGCCTTCGGTATGCGCTGATTAAAAACCGATAGCGTTGCTCAGTATTCAGGAAGTTGATGCTTTGGAAGCTGAGGCAGTTTGTTTGCACCCATTTCGGGCCCTTCTCTCTCAGTTAGTTCGTGTGAGAAGGAAACGGATAACACAATGGTAGGACTTGAAAGAGCCAACTGTCAATTGGAACAACTGCGTGCATCTAACTCAAAATCCAAAGCTTATAATCTAGAAAAATAACTACTTCAAGTAAAAGGTTTACCGGTCTTTCATAAGTAACGCTTACGAAAATCTTGTCGGACCGCTCATGTTTTTAGCGCCCTGTAGATTACACACGACAATAATATCCTGTCTACCAGCTTCGACTATTCTGAGTGATGTCTGTTGGGTATGCCCCGGATACTATTTTGTAGCAATGACAATTAAAGGACATGCTACATACGGAAAAGTAGGGAAGTTAGAGACACCTGAACCTAGCGTATGTTGTACACGCCATAAGGAATTGAGGGCGAGTCAGTAATAGCGTGGAGCACCGCTGCGCGCACGCACCAGGAAGAAAAAGTGCAGGGGTTGTACAATTATCAAAACAGCTTAACATTCATAAGTCACAAGCACCAATGAAATCCAATGTTAGGAAATACTGAAATAGTGCATGTTTACAATTCACCACATGTTATAACGGTTGATAAGGCGTAGAACATCCAGAACAGAAACTTCACCGCACCGGACAATGTACTGACCAAAGGTCAAGCCACACGATATTGGCAAGACAGCCGACATCATAGATAGGGTAAGGAAACAGGGTGTGCCAGACAGACCGAGTCTCACACCAGTCTCATTCAAGTTGTTAGTTGTCATTACCATCAACAGTAAAGTCATAACTTCACGGTATAACATTTTAGCATCCCTATGTCCCGCATGTATCACCATTTTGGTTGTGTCGCCTCCGAACACTGCTAATCGCGACTGATTCCATTCCCATTTATCCTCATCATGAAAAGTGGATTCAACTGGGAATGGCACTGTCGAACACATGACTGTTATCCCCTGCCTCAACTTAACACGATTCAAATGGTAAACGCCCTCGATTTCGTTTCTTTGTTTTACACACATCCACCTAACTCTTCTCACTTGCCTTTTATACATTGTGATAGCACACGTACCATTCTTTTCTATTTATTGTTACAGTGGATGTCACGGCACAGATGAGGCCCATGTTGACGATGACAATCCCTATAAACCGTACAAACCGCTTAACAAAGTTCGGCGAGAGATTCCGAGTCATGCTTTTCCCTACATGTAAGTTGGTGAATTACTTTGCGTTTGCAGAGCACACGACGTTGAGGTAGCACAAAACTCTTAGATAGTTGTTGAACCCACCACTCTTCCTTGAACTAAGTCACGCTAGTCATTCTCTAATTGATGGCTCCTACGCAACCGCTTGTCAGAAAACATATGAGGTTATTTATTTGCTCATGTACAAATTCTTTATATGGAAAGGCAAAAGAAGCTACCCGGTGTGTGTCCACCGACTTTGATACGGTTGGTATGGTGCTAATCCAGGGTTAGCGGGTATCTTCTGGACAAAACTCGACAGCGTTTATGTCCTCTAGCTTCTGAGCTGCAATCGGTTGTGTTATACTCTGGAACAATAAAAAGACAATTTGGCTTCGGACAGGACCTCTATGAAGATCGGTAGTCGATCAGTACGCGCTCGGCAGTTCGCCGAGGTTCTGACGAATAGCTCGTCTTCGGCATATCTGCTGTGGTGATTGCTGCAACCTTAATACCTCGAGCTATGAATTGTATCACTAGAAATGCTACCATGCCACCAAAATCGCAACAGTCAACAGTACTTGAAATATTGGAAAGATGCCCTCAGGCCAGTGTCTGTCAAATAACACTCCCATCTTCAAAAGTTCTGCAGGGTGTACAAAAATCATTCAGACATTCGCCATATACCCACTACACTTAAACTCTGGGCTGATTGTCTTCCTGAAGGGCGACTCAGTGCAAAACAATCTGATTTCTGCTCACGCTGATCTCATTCTTATTCATCATCATGCTCTTGTTGACCTGAAAGCAGCTTTCTACAGTGTACATTGTGTCAGGTTGTAGTGCTGTAGATAGTTGAAGGAGTGCAGATAAACTACTTTCTGTTCAAATGTATCTCTGCCGCCACTTTGGTTATGAAAATGGCTACAGAAAGCTGTCTTTAATTCCTCACTATAAAGAGGGGACGCATCGGGGCTGACTTTTATCATTTTTCTTTTTAAGTTCGTGACCCAAATACTACTAACTGCTTCTGTACTTTCAGCCACTATGTAAGCAATTGCAATAGGTGGACGGTGACTGTACTTGGGTTGGACCCGGCGGCTATACAAACGCTACTAAATAAGCCGACGAGCGTCGGCGTGTGCTTCGCATCTTCGAAGTGCAAGGTCCCGTGGCATGTTTAACTTGATATACGTCCGAGTATAGTTATCACGAAATCGCAATAGAAGTCCAAAATTACTCGAGACACTGGTAGCTGGAGTTCGTTGTTTAATTAGTAATGTACCCACCGAGCTTAGTAAGAACACATTGTCACCAAACGAATTGCCATATTCAGTGATATGCAGTTGTTACGCTGCTCCTCTATGATAGCCGGTGTTTGTGGAGTTTTGCTCATCTCTGATAGGAACAGCGATTGAGAAATACCGATATCCGGTAGCTGGTAATCGGAGAACAATCCCTTGGTGTTGCAATGGAGTGCTTACTGAAAGTGTACGGCTTGAATTTGCTAAACCATGACATCCGTTGGCTACCATCTCTCCCCCATACACATACTACGTTGCACTGCACTCTGTAAACCGAGGTGGAAAATGGCCATTCAGTATGGGAGAATTGACGAAGCAACATGTCTAGGTTATTACCGGTCGTTTTCGTAAATGAGACCTTGGAGAAGGCTAATTCAGCAGTAGGAGACTGTCGGACGTTACGCAGTCGCGAAACCAATACTGCATCATCATTACATATTTGCAGAAGGTGAGAAGCACGCTTTAAACATAGTGCCGCAGTGAAAATATGTACGAAGAAACGAGACACAAATCACTATAGCACACAAAAACCAACAATTGATATTCTGTTTGGCAACATATCCTCCTTCAATACTTAGGTCGTGGTTGGAGGAGGCATATAAACGGGATAGGGAGGGACAGAGAAACTCACGACACAAAAGCCATTGAAGTTGGCTCCTTGCCATGTCAACTAGTGCATCCAACTAGACGTTTTCATCTTCCTTCGGTCCCAGCCCGGCAGTCGGGAGACAACAATCAACGACAAGTTCGAAGTGACGGTTTTCATTCTTCTTGACCAAGTTATCACTTGGCCTACCCTCCTCTTCTTCCATCCACATCCCCGGCGCGTAAACAACACTCAACGCGGAAGTCGCTGTGCTGGCTTGCGTAACACGTAGCCCAGTCGTCGGAGCATAAAGTGTGAAAGAACGGTGATGGGAGGTTCATTTCTTCTTCCTGCACCAAACAGACAACGCCGAGCACACCCATTGATTATGCGGTGTTCCCGCTAGATGTGGGCTGTGAATTACATATTTACAAATTGCAAATTTGCAATTTTATCCTTCTTTTCCTACAGGTCAGCATATGTATATGATTTATTTTGTCTTGGTTATGCTCTTTTTACACTACTACGAGGATTATAAAGCACCACTATGGCATTGGTTTATTCGCACCACTGTTGTTAATCGAAACACCGTCGTAGTGGCTCATAATCACACCCTTCACCGTTGACGTGCTGGCCGCTGCTGTCCGTCTCACCGTGGCCCCCGTTTACTGCTGATTGGGAATGCAGACTTCTGAGATTGTATTTCGGCTCACTGTTGAGCAACATTGAGGCTACGTCTACAAACCCAGTCATCGTAAGTCATTTATGTGCATTTAAATGTACGGCCATAGAACCACGTTTACGATTTCCGCCGCATCAAATTTTACTCCTTTTGCCCTGGGAATCTAGGCGTGTGTGAGACTAGGCTTATAGAATGTAATATTTCATCTACTGGCATTTACAGTTGGCCAGTGGACGTCAATGTTCAATCTTAACGATTATCTGCCTATTGTCGATGTTTCATCTGGTTCCCTGTTCCTGTTACCGATCGCTTAGCTGTCACTGAGATGCGTATTGAGGAGTTAGATTCAATGTTATCCAAAGCCAGTCTGAAAGGTAACAACAGTCAAATTCTAACCCCATATGATTTGGACGGACAGCTGCAGCTGGCCTTTGTCGACGATCGAAGTGCAGGTGCTAATGGCAAGACTGCAGTAATCGCACACTCACATGGCGATTCAGCTCGGCGTTACATAGTACGATTGGAGAGGCGGGACGGATTGCCGTATGAGTTCAATCCAATTCATCATGACACGCGTCTCTACGAGGGACAGATAATTTACATTCGTTGTCAGGCTATCCAATCGGAGCGGTGTGCTTAACTCCAAACCTGTGTATCTCGGGAAGGAATATCTCTCTGCTCTGATAAATGGTAGCCAATTGGTCAATGATGGTATTCATAGTTCTGGAAAGACAGGCCAAAATTTGCGGTCCGAACCTTGGTTAGATTTGCCAGATAACTTGTGGTACACCGTAAGCTTCGTTTCTCATGTGGATTACTTTTTCAGCGATGGAACGCGAGGATACAGTCACTTCAGTGAATGTTATGCAACTTCAGTTACGTAAAGTCGCTGATGATCAGCGCGTGGTGATTCTTCGATTATATTGGGAGTGCGGGCTTAATGCAGCGGAGACAGCGAGAAGGTACAATAGCATAACCTCAGGAATGCGGCCTGTCAAAGAACCGTATGTGCTAAAACTGGTAAAGCAGTTCGAGAACATTGGAATTGTGTGCAACGCCCGAAGTACGAAGCGGCCTCGCACCACAACGGATGCGAGTTCAGCTAGTGCTGTTATCAGCTAAGTGACCGAAAGGGTGGATCTCAACATTCGTACAATTACCCAAAATTGTGACACCACCCCTTACACACTGCAGCGGATTTTGAAGGAAAAAAATTTCGTCGGGATGGTGCACGTCAAGTGCAAATGTTGAACCCTAGCGACCCGGAGAAGCGGCTTGTATTTTGCAGCTGATTCTGGAATCACGTGGATATTCACTCCATATAGCTTGCAAACAAATGCTGCAGCCAATTTATAATCACACCTGTAGTTACTTTTCCGCATAGAATAGCTTCTGGCCATTCGCAATAACAGCAAATGGCAACCAGCACGTTTCGTTTCTGAGGATTTACGTTGGCAAATGGACCCATGATATCGATGGCAATTTTAGCCCAGGGCTTCATAGAATAACCTATTGGCTGAACAGAAGATTCCAAGGGCTAGGTATTCTTGTCGGATATTTGGCAAGCATTGCACTCTCAAACTGCAACCTCAACATTAGAATTTAACTTTAGCCACGAATAGTAGCCGGGTGTACTGGCCTACGTTCTCACAATACTGGGATAACCCTCATGTGCGCAGTCAATCGCAGCTGAAATAAGACTAGTAGGAATCACAAGTTGCTCGTCTCTCATAATGCAATTACCCACCATAGAAAGTTCATGGCAAAGAGTATAGTATGGCAGTAACTCCGGTTGGATTCGAGTGCGACTAGGCAATGCATTAAGCAAATACTCCCAAAGTTTCACAAACTAGAGATCTCCGTCAGTATGTTCACGTATCCGGTCGAGCGTCATAGCATTGGGTGCTCCAGTCGAAAGATAGGGAAATCATTTTCATCTCATCTAAGTCGTCGTTCTCCCCTTCGTTTAATAGTGGAAGCCTGAAAAGTGCATCGGCCACCTGGTTAGCACCACCCGGTAAGTATCTGATTTCGTAGTAGTAATTTAGTAGGTACGAGTACCAGCGTCTTAGACGCACCGGCTTTAGACCCTTATTGTCACGTTTCAGTAGGGTTGTAAGGGCAGATTGATCAGTACGCGAAACGAATGGACGTCCGAATAAGTAAAAGTGCCACTTCTCACAGGCCCAAATACAAGCCAAAGCCTTTTTCTCACCAGTAGAATATTTCCTTTCCGTGTTCGACAAACTTCATGAGGCATATGCTATTACTTTCTCTTCACCCTCCTGTGACTGGGACAGAACGACCCCTAAACCAACGTCGGAAGCATCTGTGGAAACGAACGTTGGACGCTGCTCGTTGAAAATAGCTACTGAAGGGGTAGACGCAACCATCGTTCGTATGGCCAGATAAGATTCCTCTTGTTCAGTCGCTCAGTGGAATTCTTCTTTTT